TGGAGCAAATGGATTCAGACTGGCCCCTACCACATCCCCATGCAGAAAAACGGACAAAACGTATGAGGCAATATCGTCTCGACACTGGGTAACAGACACCACCAGACCACACTCCCTAGCAGATGGCAAGGGGTGAGAGTCCACTCTGCACCAGCTCTTTCAGCCTGAAGGCACACAGTGACCCACAAGGCAATGGTGAGGCGGGTAGGGGAGGGAGGCGAAGCAAAGCCCTGGCAGTCAGGTCAAGTTGAGAAGTCAGACAGAAGAGTTTGGGGACGTGGAGAAGTCTAGAAACAGCAGAGGTGAAAAAGAAGGCAGTTGCATGAAGAAGGATCTCCAGAAACCAGCACAGAGGTCTCCCGGCATCTGATACTGGAGAGTAAGTCACACGTGTATGTTGTAAAAATCTATGCGAGCAAAGAATGACCCAAGAACCATAAGCTAAATGATCCCAGAGTTCACACAGGACTGGCTGACATTCACATTCTGAGAATCAGAGCACAATAATCTGAGTTCAGACTTTAGCACCACAATTTATTAGCTATGAGACCACAGCCACCTTTGAGATTGTTTCCTTATTCTAAAATGGGTTAATAATTCCTGCCTCAGGTTTTTGCATTGTTGCTGTTTTTAATTAAATAAGAAAGTGTAGTAAGACACATGGTATGACATCCGATGCAGAGGAGGTACACTCAGCTAATGTGAGTAAACAGATTTTTCTCAAAATAAAGAAAACAGGCAAGAAAAGATCAGATAACTAACTATACTAGCTTCTTCCATTCTCTGAAAATATTCTGACAATCTCTGTTCACCGCTTAGTGTGGTTTCACCTGACTTCAAGCATTGGTACTCAATGTGCCTCTGATTTCACAATAACTCAGGTCGAACAGAAAGTTCTGTGCGCTGAAATGTGTTTACAGTCTAGAATATTCCATGGCAAATATGTTGTAAAAGACAATGTGAAAAGAGTCAAAAGTAAAAAGCACCCATTTTCCCAAAGCAAAAGATTCAGAATGGCAAGAAAAACGGTAGAATATTTCGACTCCCTTTTATAAAGAAAAGCCAATAAATTTAACTGGTTCGTTTTCCCTTCTAGACAAAGGTACGAACTTTATCCAAACCACCTGCCAACCAATAGTTACAGTAACACAACATTTGCATAGCACTTTATCTCATGTTTACCACAACAGTTTACAGATGGCATAGCATTCATACTTAAATGTTTGGGGGGTTTTTTTGGTAAGTAAGGATACTAAGTTTGAGACAGATGAGGTGGCTCGCTCAAGGACACCCGTCAGTAAATGGGAAAATCTGGATGTGACGTGAGATGTGTCACCCCACGCCATGTGCTCCAAACAGAGGCCACCACCAGACAGGCATCTTGGGTTGTGTGAAACTCCTGACCTCAGTAACTCCTCCGTGCCTGCCTTCCTAACAGTTATCTACAAGGCTAATTCATTATAGGGTGACATATTCAAGTCCTACCTATTTAAGAAAAACCTATCATTTGAGGTGGTGAAGGCTATATCTATGGCCAACTATGAGGTGATATGATCATAATAGATGTATATAAAATGATATTTAATACATATAGCCAGAAGTGAAAATTCAAAAGGGCTATTTCCAACACCAGCATCTACAGAACGACAGAAACAGTAAATCCCTCACACCTTTACCTTCTCCTCACCCCAATACCCACATCACAAAACACACGGACATTTACCTTCCCCCAGGCTCTGAACAAAAGGAAAAGTATGTCACCGTCCACACAAACCTTCAGACAATGACAGTATCTCAGTACTAGGCTGGCTGGTCCATCTTACCACCAAGGACTGGAAAAAGGGTTATCTACTCATCTTCTACTTATCACGTCCACATGAAACCCCGGGTGGACTGCAAGATAGTAACTGTGAAGACAGATGAATGAAACACACCTCCTTCCATTGCCAGCCTCCTGCCCTCTCCACACTGAGAGGGAAGCCAGGAGCACAGCTTCCAAATGGATGCCGCCTGCCAGGAATAACCAAGCATGCTCAAGGGCACTTAAATGTTAACTTTAAAAGAAGAGAATATCAAAAGTTCATTCATCTCGTTTTGTCAGGGACTTTTTTCTCCCCTCAATCAGTGAGTCTGACCAAATAAAATGTTTAAAGACTTGCTATAACCTTTTGTAAGAAAACTAGTGGAAAGAGGAGGTTCAGGATACTAAATGTCCATTACAGGCCCATTTTTGAGAATGTCTATTCCATTTGACATTGTGAATATTCTGAGTTGTAGTCAATGAAATAATTCAATCTCTGCTTCCTTCCGCAAGTGGTAGCACCTTCAAAAGTCTGCTCAGGCGGCTGAACTGCACGAACAGGGCATTGCTTCTACCTTAAGCCAGCTGGAGAAATGCAGTCCTAATCCTTATCGATTATTTATCATGACTAAAGGAACAAGGGAAGTTGAAACTGACTAAATAACTCGGCTATCCTATTTCAGTGCTTAAAACAATTCATGTCTCACCATTTCCCGAACACTCCGGGTGCACAGAGCTCTACCCTACCCAGTCACTCCACAAGTCCCAAAGATAACAGGTGACTGAGAAGAAAAAACTGCTGCTTCTATTAACATTCAACTAACACCATAAAAAAACTGCATGTGACTAAGACCCAATGATCAGAAGGATCCATTCTCTCTGAAACGGCCAAGTCACTATGCTCAGAAGCATCGCTCTTAAAAATACTTTGGTAAGTCACGTAAAAATCTTATCATCACAGCTACTAGGTCACTGGCACCTACTGAATGCCAGGCACACCGGAGGTCCTTCACACATTTCCCTTTATTCCTAAGAGCACTGGAAGGAAGTCTGTCACCCCACCTTACACAGTAGGATACCCCAGCTTTGGGAAGGTACCAGGGATAAGCGCAAGGCCACAAAACCAGGCAACTGGAGAAGCACAGAGATGTGGCTCCAAAGAACACCTGCTTCTTCTTCTAAAGTGTGCCTAACCCCATTTCACAGTAGAGGAACAGGCAGAGATGAGCGAACGTGCCTGGCAGTCTTATCTCTCCCAAAAAGGGTGAACATGTCTAAATCAGAACCATTTTGAACCACAATGCACTCATCAGCTGAACCTCGCCTCAAGAAATCATTAACAAGCTCAAAAACAAAAGTCAGAAGTCCCGTCTAAGGTCAACTAAATTTCATCACAGATCCACAGATGAGCTGTCCTCCTGGACAAGTCCCCAGAGTTAGTGACTCTTTGTGAGCGGGTACAGAGCACCTCCCCAGTCCAAAGGCATACCCAGGCGCCTGCACTGTGTGTGAAGTCTCCTTCCTGCAAAGAGCTTGCAAAGGTAAAGAAGAAATAAGGTGAATCACAGTCTTCAAGGAGTTAACACCCTCGAGTCCAACTTACAAAATGCACAGTTCCCATCCGTCGGGCGAATAAATGAAGTGTGAGGAATCCTACAACAAAAGTATGCCATGTGCTAGCACAGCTCAGGGAAGGAACACAACTGCCCACTGGTCACCTAATATTGCTCTGTAGTATTTGTTTACATTATGTCCCTCCCTGACAACCCCTGGCAACCCCTGGCAACTTCCTCCCCCAACTCCCTGTATGACAAGGGAAGAAAGCCCAGTAAAAGCAAGGAGTGTGGCCCCTCAAATTGACTTTGTTGCTTTAGTTTTAAGAAAACAATGCTTTTAGGGCCTCCCCGGTGGAGCAGCAGTTGAGCGCTGGGTTGCGAAGCTGCCCGTGGCCTCTGCAGCGCCGGTTCGATCCCCGGCTGCTCCCCAGCCACCTGAGGAGGGTCCCACATGGCGCGCAGACCTCTCCTGCTGCCGGCTGCTCCCCTCAGCAGTGTCCTTCGGTCCCTCTGCCTGCTCTGCTCCCCGCTCTGGCTCTGGTGAATTCTCTCACCCTCCTGCGCTTCTGACTATACCCAGTGATTGTATATATAAATAATAAATCTTTAAAAAAAAAAAAAAAAACAATGCTTTTACACCATATGACATTTATCTTTGGCTTCATCAGGTGAAGAAAATGAGCTTTTCAAAGAAAAATGATGCGAGCAAGGGCCTCCCCCGTGGCGCAGTGGTTGAGCGCTGGGTTGCGAAGCTGCCCGCAGCCTCTGCTGCGCCCGTTCGATCCCCGGCTGCTCCCCGGCCACCGGCGAGGGTCCCACATGGCGCGCAGACCTCTCCTGCCGCCCGCTGCTCCCCTCAGCAGTGTACTTCGGTCCTTCTGCCTGCTCTGCTCCCCGCTCTGGCTCTGGTGAATTCTCTCACCCTCCCGCGCTTCTGACTGTACCCAGCGCATGTATAAGTAAGTAAATAAATAAATAAATCTTAAAAAAAAAAGAAAAATGATGTGAGCAAAACCAGAAAAACCCAAGGAGCTACTTCCCTGCATCACTCAGGTGGCAGGAGAAATCCAGCAAACTGACACTGTGGTGGGTGTCTCGAATGTGTCTTTTTCATGCAGCAGCAGGCCCGGGGCCTGAACTCCTGATATTAACATCTCTCGGTCAGTTTCACTGAGCAATCGACAACCAGCAGACATTTACACTCCTGTCTTCTGAAGAACTGAAACAGACACTCTCGCACGCGAACCCAAAGAAGCCCAATTCAGCAGAATCAATCCACCTAAAACCTGACCCCAAGGCTGGTATTTTCATGAAGATGCAAATCACCAAGCGACCACGAGGCAATGGAAGAACCAAGGCCCTGCGTGATCTCAGCTGATCCTAATTCCTTTACAAACTTGCAAAAAAAAAAAAAAAGAAAAAAAAAATCTTTCAAGAGCTGAAGCCTGTGGCCTGATCTGGGGGATCCACCGGTCCAGAGAGAGAATCAGCTTCTTCAGAAAATTAAATGGGGGGAGAAAAAGGAAAAAAAAAGGCGCATGGCTTTTCCTTTAGTTCTACGTGCCCGAGGCAACAAACTCTCAAAATAACCTCACCGAGGAGCGCAAACCCGAAGAAGGAGCACAAAATATTGCTCAACCGACCTCCATGGCGAATTCCTGAGTCCACAGAAGATCCAGACACTGGAATGGGCCAGAATCGATGTGCTGGAGGAACTAGTTGCAAAGGGAAAAAATAAACCTGCCTCTCCTCCTCTGCGGCTGGGCAGGACACCGTGAGGGTTTCCCCGCATTGTTTAAAAAAAAAAAAAACAAACTTCGCATGCTGTTTGATGCTGCACCCCAAAAATAAGTGTAAAGCTTGTTTTATGCCCCCCCCAAAATATTTTACTGTTCGTTTAAAGTATGGCTGCACTTGGGCGCAGGGCTGAGCCCGCTGCCCGGTGCTGAGCGGGCCCCTCCGGGGGTCCCCCGGATTCTGCGCGGAAAGGGCCCCCCAAGGAGGAAAGCGCCCCCCAAGGCGTGTTGACCCGGGGTCCCCGGGATCCTGGGGAAAGCGGCCCCCCAAGGCGTGTTCACCCCGAGTCCCCGGGATCCGGCGCGGAAAGGGCCCCCCAAGGCGTGTTGACCCCGGATCCCTGGGATCCTGCGTGGGAAGCGCCCCCAAAGGCGTCTTGACCCGGGGTCCCCGGGATCCTGCGCGGAAAGCGTCCCCCAAAGCGGAAAGCGCCCCCCAAAACGTGTTGACTCGGGGTCCCCAGGATCCTGGGGAAAGCGCCCCCCAAGGCATGTTGACCCAGGGGTCCCCGGGATCCTGAGCGGAAAGGGCCCCCCAAGACGTGCTACCCGCCGCGCCGGCCCGGGAGGCGCTCCCCGCGTCCCGGACCCGGCGATCCCCGAGGGGCCGCGGCTCCCCCCCCGCCCCGCCCCTGCCCGGGGTCCGGGCCTCGCGGCGGGCACCCCGAGAGGCGGCCGCGCCCCCGCCCGCGGCGGGAGCAGACAATGCCGCGGAGGGGGCGCGCGCCCAGCCGGGGCCGCCGAGCCGGGGGGCCGCGCGCCCCCTCCCGCCGCCGCGCGCCCCCGATCCCGGCCCCGCCCGCCCAGCGCCGCCGCGGGGGGCCCCGGGCTCGCAGCCGCCCCCCCGCGCACCCCCAAACTTCCCCCAACTCCGCCAACTAAGTTGCTCGCTCACCGTGCGGCGCCGGGGGCTCCCCCGCGGCCCGATCCGAAGCAGCTCCGCACCTCGCCGCGGAGAGGGGCTCGGCGGCCGCGGGGCGGGGGCGCGGGCGGGGGCGCGGGGCGCGGGCGGCGGCGGGCGGCGGACTCGGCGGTTCCCGCGGCGGCTCCCGCTCCTCGCGGACCCAGCGCCGCGCCCGCCCGCGCATGCGCCGGCCGCCCCGGTGGGCGGGGCGCCGGGAGAGCCCGCCCCCGGGGGAAGCGCGAGCGCCAGGGGCGAGCCGGGAGGGCGCCCGGAGCTGCCCGTCACGCTTCGGCAGCCAATGGGAAGAGAGCTGGGCTGGGGGCTCCGGTTGCTAAGGAGGCTGCGGGAGCCTGCCCGGCTGCAGCGCAGCTCAGCTCAGCCTGCAGAGAGAGGCTGCACCGGGGAGGGCCCACCCTGCCTCCCTCTGCTCCCCTCGCCCCTCCTCGCCCCTCCTCGCCTCCCCTCGCCTCCCCTCGCCCCTCCTCGCCCCTCCTCGCCGCCTCTCCGCCCTTCCTCTGCGAGCCAGGGCTTACCTGAGCGTGCAATCACGCCCACGCGATTTGCTCTCCAGTTCCCCCCACCCCCCCGCTTGACATCGGAGAGGGGGAGTTAGTGTCCTCTGTGCAAGGTGTGCAACAAGTGTTTCACTGGCACGCAGGGGGACACCGGCGGACGGGAGGACGGACGGACAGCTGGCTCTGTGGAGGCATCAGGATTGAGTCTGTGAACTTTTGGTTACTCTAGTGCCACAAAATTGTACAGAATTACCCAGGATCTCAGAAATCATCTGGGGGCTTTTGAGAAATAAAATGATGCTTTCACGACTTAATGTACGTGGGGGTGGGGCCAGCACGCAAGCCACTGTTTCTGGGGGTTTTTTTGGTCGAACCAAATAGTTGGAAAATCTGAGTTTACTTAAAGAGAAATATTGAATTAGAAAGGGAGACAGTGTGCCGTTCAAGAAGATGGACTTTGATTATGGTTTTGGGGGTGGTTTTGGGGACATATGGCTGGGAAGGAGCTGAGGGGTGCAGAAGTGTTCGGTATTTTGATCTAGGTGGTGGGTCACAAAGGTATAAGGTAAGTGAATATTCGTCGAACTGTACACTTAAGACCAGTGCACTTCACACATCTTACAGTGTGTTTGTCAGCGTCCTGGGACAGGACACAGGAGGAAAAAAAAAAGTTCAAAGGTACAAATGACTGTCCCCGGGGAAACCCAGGCAGGCTTCCTACCAGCCCTGAGAACCTGAGAGTGGGGTGTTGTGGGTGCTCCCTGCCTGCACCAGATGCTTCCATCGTCCAGGGCTCTTAATCTCAGCAATATTCCAAACCTGGAGCTGAAATAGCCTTCCTTGTAAGATCTGGATCTCACATGTGTTTCCTTCATCTCACAGAATTTAAAAACAAAAAGACACAAGGTCAACCATCCCCAGTGGTCCAGGTGAAGTTATTTCCCAGCCACTTCATCCTGCTTATCTCCTCCAGATGCACTCAAATCTGTCCTGATCAATATGTAAACGATGGCAGAGAGAGACCACAATAAGGAGGTGTAGGGTAAGTATCGGGCTTTTCTGCCCTCCTGCCATTAGGATTGATGATGGATCCCTGTGGTCCTAAATGCGCGCCTGATGGCGGGCACCTGGAGTAGGGTGTGGGCATACATAAGTGGATACACCTGGGCTGAGAGACTGGGCTTCTAAGGATGGCATCATGGGGGCGCCAACAGAGTGAAGGGAGCAGAGAAGCAGAGGCCATGAGAGAAGGCCGGAGAGCCCCGAGAGAGTGAAGACTTGCTGGGGACTGGGAGGCCTGCCAGTCTCCTGGCCCCCAGCACCCCTCCCTGCCGTGTTGTAAGGGGCAGGAATGGGCTCAGAGCAGGATCTCTATGATCCGAGCAGACGGGGTAAGGAGGAGAGAGTCCTGGAGCCCTCAGTGGCTTTTGCAGGCTTTTATTGGGATTCACCAGGCACACAGCAGGCAGGGGTGCTGGGGGGCCGGGAAGCTGGCAGGCCTCCCAGCCCCCAGCAAGTCCTCACTCTTTCTGGGCTCTCCTGTGTTCTCCCGTGATCTCTCGGCTTCTCTGCTCTCCTCATGGTTCTTTCTGCTTCTGCTGGCATCTCCGTGATGCCGCCCTTATAAACTCAGTCTTAGCCCAGGGGAATCCCATCTACATATGCCCACACTCTGCTCCAGGTGCCCGCCATCAGGCATGCATTCAGGACAAGGATCCATCATCAATCCTAATGGCGGGAGGGCAGAAAAGCCTGATATTTTTTTTTAACCTTACCCTACATGTGTACCTGGTAAATCCCAATAAAAACCTGCAAAAGCCACCGAGGGCTCCAGGACTCTCTCCTTTACCCTGTCTGCTTGATTATAGAGATCCTGCTCCGTCTCATCCTGCCCCTACAGGAGGTCACTCCCCAAATGAAGTTAGTCTCCTGCAAGGCGTAAGGGCTGTGCTAGAAGATCACTTGATTTTCTTTAGAGTCTGTTACAGGAACAGCAGCAAATTTTACCATGTGATCTTTTTGATGACTGCAGACCAAAATCCCCTGCTCCCTGCTTCCGCAGCATTTTCTCCTTTCTGGTAGCTACAGAAAATACTTAAGAGTCCAGCACTTTTTTTTTAAAGATTTAGTTATGCATACAAGAACTGGATACAGGCCAGAGGTGCAGGGGGAGATGGTGAGGGGGTTCACTGGAGACAGAGTGGGGAGCAGAAGAGGCAGATCTACCGAAATACACTGCTGAGGGGAGCAGCGGGTGAGACAGGAGAGGTCTGCTGCGCCATGTGAGTCATCTCCCCGGCTGGGATCAAACTCATGCTGCAGAGGCTGCCAATAGCTCTTGCGTCACCAAGCTGGCCCTAGAGTCCAGCACTTTTTAAGGTTTACTGTACTTGCAAATCACCTGGGACATTCGGCTAAGTGTACTAATTCCTACTCAGTGAGATCGAATCTGGGTTTCTGATTTTCTAATAAGCCCCAGGTGATACTGGTGCTGCAGGCCTGAGACCCCACTTTGAGAAGCAATGTCCCCCAGACACAGCTGAGCCCTCGTCATCTTGCTGATGCTAAAAAGTTATTCCCAGTTACACCAAAACCCTCTACCCATGGTGCCCCATCAGAAAGAAGGTTCAGGTTTAAGTAATTTTCTCCCTTTCCCTAACTAGGTTAACAAGCTGCCAGGGTCTTATCAAGCACAGTAGGATTATGTATCTCTGAACTATCTCTCTAGTTGACTTATAGCTATTAAACTGATTTGCATAGATTATAATGCCTAAAAATATGATAAGGCTAAACCCCATTTTATAGAGTCCCTGAAAAAAACAAAGCAAAGAAAAAATAAAACCAACAGTTATGAAAACTTAAATTTCTCTTGAGACCCATGGTTCCTTAAAATGTCCACTTTTGTAAGAGAACAGAAGCCTCGAAACAGAGTTGACTCTGGATTTTTCTTTCACAGCAGTGGACATTTTATGGTTTTTGTGGTACAAGTAATACCCTGATGTTGCTTTGAGGGAACTTCCACTTCAGGCAACTCCACAATGACCCCCATCCTGTGACTACTGTGGGTGATGAGCTCTAAGTCAATCAGTGCTCCCTAACCACCAGCAACAATGGTCAGTTCAAGGGCAGGCTGATCCCAACGGGTCAACCAGGGGCAACAGGAGTAAATTCTACCTTCAGGCTGAAGTATCAGGGGAAATGTAGGGGAAATGGAAATACTCAGGCTTTTGTGCCATTGGCCTCTGTGGGTATCACCTGCGGAATTGAACGCAGGAGGCACTTGGGAACGTGGGCTCGGGTACGCATGCCTGATGGTGGACACCTGGAGTATAGTGTGGGCATGCGTGAGTGGGCACACCTGAGCAGAGAGACTGCAGCTATGAGGGCAGTGTCACGTAGATGACAGTGTGTGGCAGAGCGCAGGGGAGAGCAGTGGAGAGTGACAGCTGTGAGAGGAAGTGCAGAGGAAAGAACATGTAGAGATTCCCAGGGGGGCCCACGTCGCTGCCTCCCGGCTGGCTTGTTTCCTCTACATGTATTAAAAAACCTGTGGGGATGATGCCAAGGGCTCCAAGTTTCTCTTTTAAGCTGCCTAAACAGATCATGAACCTACCCAGCCTGGGATGGTTGCACCACAGGAGTTGACTTTCTCAACTGGAACCTGGAAGGATAAGCGTGTCCACCATCTTGTCACCATGAGGAAAGAGTGTCTTAGAATGGAGCCGGC